ACTTAAAATGTGGATAATTTATGTTACCTTGGTAACCTATCTGACTTAGAATGTGAGTAATTTATGTTACCTTGGTAACCTATCTGACTTAGAATGTGAGTAATTTATGTTACCTTGGTAACCTATTTTACTTATGGTGTGAGTCATTTCTATAATCTACGTATATATATCTTTAATATGATTAACTTTTATCATTTAAACATTATCTGTGATAGGACTGATTCATTTTTATCTGCTAAACAACACATTTTCTACCTCTTAAAATGAAACTAGTTCTCTAACATAGCGTTAGTAACGCCGTTTACATAGGAACGGGACACAGGCGGGAAAAGACCGGTGGAAAACGAGGCAACGAGAGACAGAGCAGCCCGTGGTATATCAGAACCCCTTTCTTGAAGCTATTCCGGCTTCTCTTAGAGCGGCGTATGTTGAACATCCGATCAATCAGCGTTATATACTTTTATATAGTCGGCCGTGTAAGTGAGAATGCCACATTACCATTATACAAGAAGGAAAATGGAGCTTTAACTTTAATGAACTCTTAACACTGTCATATTTAAATGTAGATAAACTGGAACTTGTAATTCCAGTTAACTGGGTTACACCGTCCCCACCGTACACAGGGCAACAAGCTTTGCTTTCCCCTCACACAGTGAAGTAAGGGTTTCGAGCTTTTCACTTACTAATCTTGTCACTGACTTCTTCAAGCCACAAGCGGTGTTACTAACGATCAACAAACGTCCACTGGGGCAAAAACGTCATAATGACTGCTTGATGTAAAAGTGACGTGAAAGATTCACCTGTTTTCATTATCTTCTTACATAACAAACAATTTAGTGACGACTCTGTCGTTAAGCTACCTTGTGGGCTCAGATAACAAAACTGATATAAAACCACAAGTATATTTTACTATCACTGCCCAGTAAGCCTTTCGATCAATACCAGAAATCATTAGTTGAGCTGATGATGAGAAATAAAAAGTTTTATGACTTATATTTGTTGCAAAGTACTTTAAAAATTACGGTGTCAACGCCGAAAGTTGAAAACCATTGTTGAAACCATAAACAAAGCTACAGTTTAATAACCAAGAAAAAACATGTAACTGTTGTGGTGTTATTTATTACAGTAAACGAAACGTGTAACAGTGACTTATGGTGTTATCTATTACAGTAAACGAAACGTGTAACAGTGACTTATGGTGTTATCTATTACAGAAAGCGAAACGTGTAACAGTGACATATGGCGATATCTATTACAGAAAGAGAAACGTGTAACAGTGACATATGGCGTTATATATTACAGAAACCGAAACGTGTAACTGTGAGTTGTGGTGTTACTTATTACAGTAAACGAAACGTGTAACAGTGACTTATGGTGTTATCTATTACAGTAAACGAAACGTGTAACAGTGACTTATGGTGTTATCTATTACAGAAAGCGAAACGTGTAACAGTGACTTATGGTGTTATCTATTACAGTAAACGAAACGTGTAACAGTGACTTATGGTGTTATCTATTACAGTAAACGAAACGTGTAACAGTGACATATAGCGTTATCTATTACAGAAAGAGAAACGTGTAACGGTGAGTTATGGTGTTATCCATTACAACGTTTAACGGTGAGTTATGGTGTTATCCATCACAACGTGTAACGGTGAGTTATGGTGTTATCCATCACAACGTGTAACGGTGAGTTATGGTGTTATCCATTACAACGTGTAACGGTGAGTTATGGTGTTATCCATTACAACGTGTAACGGTGAGTTATGGTGTTATCCATTACAACGTGTAAGGGTGACTTATGGTGTTATCCATTACAACGTGTAACGGTGAGTTATGGTGTTATCCATTACAACGTGTAACGGTGAGTTATGGTGTTATCCATTACAACGTGTAACGGTGAGTTATGGTGTTATAAGATTTGTTCATTATATCTCCCACTCTACTGGTAATTCTGGTATACCAACAAAATTTATACTTTGGGATATATTGTACTTGAAACGTTCTGATCCTTCCAAAGTGTAATCCCTTGACCTGGAATGTATAGATTTTTGTTTTTGACGCAAACAGAAAAAGAAAAAAAACATCCAGGGGTTAGAGATTACAAACGAGAACGTTCATCACATGTTCTATTGGACTCGCCTAGTTCTAGAGGTGAGATAGCTACCGGGAAAAGCTCGGCCTGAGACCAGAGGCTGTGACTGGCAGGTTTCCCAAGGGATTAGCGCTAGAGTAAAGCACGCGGTCACAGACAGCTGATGAGGTTCTACAAGATTAGCAGCTTCCTACGGTCACTTTATCTCATCATATAAACAACACCGATCACACTGACCCCTGGAAGGTAAAGTCTGTTTTAACTGGAAGTGCAAAAAGCTGCATTACAATTTATATCGAAACTGTCCTGGACTTCTGGGTCGTTGTACACGACATATTAATGAAACTGTCCTGGACTTCTGGGTCGTTTTACAAGGCATATTAATGAAACTGTCCTGGACTTCTGGGTCGTTTTACAAGGCATATTAATGAAACTGTCCTGGACTTCTGGGTCGTATTACAAAACACATTAATGAAACTCTCCTGGACTTCTTGGTCGTTTTACAAGGCATATTAATGAAACTGTCCTGGACTTCTAGGTTATTTTAAAGACATATTAAGTCGATAGAAATGAAAGAGGAAGAAATCATGAGTGGTTTTATAATTAAACCAGTGGTTCTATAAACCAGACTAACATAACAGTTGATAAAGACCAATATACAGGGTTGGACTTCTGTACTAAGTTTGAACTGTACTACCCGAGGTAAAGTAATGCTTTGTGATAACGCTCTTTACCTACATGAAAAGATGTAATAACGCTCTTTACCTACATTAAAAGATGTAATAACGTTCTTTACGTACATTAAAAGATGTAATAACGCTCTTTACCTACATTAAAAGATGTAATAACGTTCTTTACGTACATTAAAAGGTGTAATAACGCTCTTTACCTACATTAAAAGATGTAATATTGCTATGTACCTACATTTAAAGGTGTAATAATGCTCTGTACCTACAATTAAGATGTAATAACGCTCTTTACCTACGTAAAAAGATGTAATAACGCTCTGTACCCACATTGAAAGATGTAATAACGCTCTGTACCCACATTGAAAGATGTAATAACGCTCTGTACCTAGATTAAAAGGTGTAATAACGCTCTTTACCTACATTTAAAGATGTAATATTGCTTTGTACCTACATTTAAAAATGTAATAACGTTCTTTACCTACGTAAAAAGATGTAATAACGTTCTGTACCTACATATAAATATGTAATAACGCTCTCTACCCACATTAAAAGATGTAATGACGCTCTTTACCTACATTAAAAGATGTAATAACGCTCTGTACCTACATTAAAAGATGTAATAACGTTCTTTACGTATATCAAAAGATGTAATAACGCTCTCTACCTACATCAAAAGTTAGGATATCGTAGTTTACGTACATCAATAGATGGGATAACGTAGTTTACGTACATTAAAAGATGTAATAACGCTCTCTACCTACATCAAAAGATAGGATATCGTAGTTTACGTACATCAATAGATGGGATAACGTTGTTTACGTACATTAAAAGATGGAATATTGCTCTTTACCTACCTTCCACGCTAGCTTGGATGTTCGCGTTGACTCAAGACGTGCTGGTATTGGACCAAAGCGCGATCCTTTACATATTATGTTTCTAGTCCACACACCTATCTGATATGATAGACTGCTAGGCCTAAACTCTAGTTCTTCAGGTAGAAACTGTAGTCCAGCTGAATCGGCATCGGGAATTAAACCAATCACAACCTTTGCTGACCGCAGGCCGGAGCTCGGCTGACCCTCAGTGTCTACATTATCAACACTTGATAAGTTGTCTTCGTCTTCTCTTCTTCGTCGCAGTTCTCGTTCTTTCTCGTCTATGATGATAAAAAACGTTTCTCATTCAACAAGCAAAAGACTTTATGACAAACGTTTCCTTCTTCATAATATTAGCTTCAATGTTTTTAATTCTTACTTGTTGGATTTAAAATTGTAAGTTTCTCGATTGTTGAAACTCATTCGAATCCAACCAGCAATTTCAAAACCATAAATGTTGTACGGACTTACAACGCTAAAATCTGGGGTTCGATGCCCCGCGGTGGACACAGCAGATAGCCCAATGTGGCTTTGATAAAAAAGTGAATACACCTTTACTAACTCTCATGATAATATCACCAATCTTCAGGAGGAGCTTGCTTATTCTAACTTTCTACTTTTTAGGTCGTTCCTAGTCCATCAAAAATGTATATAAGTGTTGCTATAAATGATTCCGAAATTTAGGACATGTCGTTCTAGTAAATTAGAGAAAGTCAAAGCTGTGAAACGTAAATTTATCAAGAAATAAGGACCGTCAGGGGAAATAATAATTCACGGTATATGAT